GCCGAATGAGTTTTGACTCTACCGTAATTTTCGATTTAACTGTTATTCCTAACATCTATTGGATATTCCCGCTTTTCTATTTTTTTGCTGTTTCATTCTACATATTTTACCCTTTTAGTTATCTAAATCTAAATTTCGTATTTTTCAAGTTAATATTCTTTTAAAAATATCTCCTAATACTTGCCTTTAATGCTATTAATTTTAAAACAGGTTTCGATCAGTTTTCAGTTAGACGGCTGAATGACTTTGGACTGGGAATGCTCACTTTGTGGGAATCCGTCGAAAAACCTTAACAATATAAAGAGTCTTGTCCTTTAATAATTGCACCCAAAGAGTTGCGTATCCTTAACATTTTAATGAGCCTCCCTTCCCTCCCAATGTAGCTCACCCAACAGGGGGGATGTGTACCAACATTCATTTGAATTAAATCCGTGCGATATGCACCATTGGGGTAATTCACCCCAGGATGCAAATTCCCAGAGAGCCCCGAGAAGGATGTCCATAAGGAGGCGGAGGTCAACTAATACTCTATTTGTTTCCGTCTCATTTAGGAATACCTTTACCACGTAAACACTGCCCTTCTATGAAACTGAGCCACGAATACAAGCGCATGGGTTTGATGAATCACCGGAAAGTGTCGAAATAGTCGGATAGACAACAACGATGGAGAGGTCAGTAAACAAGGGCCATCTGTCCTCCATTGACAGCGTGACAAGCTCGTGAGCCGGATTGCCAGCTCTTGCTGAGAAGAACCTTCAAATGGTTTTGCTAAATGACCGAAACACAAAAATATACTTCCGAATTGAGACTTTGATACTTGGTGCGACTCAATATTACGTACCAGGTGGGAAGGGAGAGTATGGATGGGGGCTGTATGTCGTAAAGTAGATCTGCCTGAGCTGAGACCATGGCAGTAATTAATGGCATAAAACTATGCATTGGCGCGCCAGAATTTGCAGTGGTAATGCAGTTTAGTACAGGCCGCTCTTTACGTAAATCACACTTGATACACTAAAAAGTTTATAATTAATCTACATTTCCACTTCGCCAAGCAGCTGAGTACCTTTTTTCGTGCACCTGGCTATAATAAACACATAAAGACCCTATGACAGCGGGCGAATTATTATTTTCATTTGTAATGTTCTTCATAAAAAACGAGTTCCACCAAATGTCTTTCATGCTTCACTCTGGCTGTTTTGAAATATATTTAAAAGGTAATTTCAAAGATCCTCATCTAAGTCAACAGTACCACTATTCTCTCAACCCTTCTGTAAACTTGACAAATCTGCAACTAAAACTTGTACGAATTTCAAGCCCACTAGGAACAGCGCTTTAAGAAAACAGCTGAAAACTGGTGCTATGCCCATATAGCACGAGGGATATTCTCTGTGGAAGGCTAAAACTGTTGAAACGCACAGAATAAGGATGGAGATTAATTTTTGGTGGACATGAATTAACGCAGCGAGAACAGAAATAAGCAGAAAACATCGATCCCTGAAAAAATCCTTACATTCATGATAAGAAGGATGGTTTATGATTGCGGTCTGAAGACTCAACACCTCCCTATGTAGCGAAAAGGCAAGATTGAATAAAGGTATGAGCTGGACAGAATTTAAATTAAAACACGATGGAGAAGGAGAATGAAACCATTATGAAGCGTCAATGAGCCAGTTAGCGGTGTGTAATTTATGATATGGTTTTGAATTTACGCAAAATGCGATTGGAATTGAGAAGTGATCACAGTAGGGTATCACCCAGTCTTCAGCCTTCTTGCGTGAATGCCTTCGGCAGAAGGAGTATGCTATATTTAAGGATCCTACTGCAATCCCCAATATTTACCACTAAACGAAATAAGGACGCTTCTCATGCAATGTAACTAACGACATCATCGTTTTTCCCGTTTCAATTTGCCCAAAAACCTACGATGGGGAAGGGGAAGAGAAATCACGACACCTAAACTACAACGTGGACTCAGTGCCACCTTTACAACTAGATTTTCAGTCCTTCTATACGTCCACAATAAATCAGTATGACCCAAATCCATGGTTCCTATTTTCCTTCATACCGTAAATGTACATTTATAAGGCAACTATGAGTAGAATTAAACCATTTTCTAATAAAAGGTTTGCCGTAGACAGCACGGAACACCAAAAAGGGAACTGAAGTAAAAAAAAGTATAAATACTGAATACGCAGTAGGTTTGTCAATACTTTAAGAATTAACGCGCTGGCATGCAATTCCTATCTTCCAAACGGACCAATCACATGAGAGAGCATTTGCAGTGGAGGCGGCTACCGTTCGAGGCACGTGTTTGATATGGCAGCAGCAGGCTGTAATGTGGTTACTCATCTATCCACAATAACGATCTGAATGAGTTCAAACATCTGGCATCCCACTCGATTCTAATGTCTATGAACTAAAAATCGTGAATTTTTGAAAGTTTTTAAGGGTTTAGGAATAATTTTTTGTGAAAATTAGTTACAGGGTTAAAGTAGAACCATGTGACCTGATTATCTACTCGTTGAACTCTAATGGTTTATGAGCAATTTGTTTTATCTATCTAGGTCAATTAAATTAAGGCAAGTTTTGATTGAATGGTCAAGCACGCACAAAAAAGGTGACAATGCATCTTAAGTTGGTACTAAACTCACCATCTATGTCTGCATCGGCAATCATCCTCTTCACGTCCGAAGCAGATGCCTTGATCCCGAGGAAACTGAGCACTGAATTCAACTCAAACTCCGTGATTCGACCGTCGTGGTTGACATCAAAGAGGACAAAAGCATCGTGGAGTTCTGGATGAAAAAATGAATGGAATTCTAGAATTTGTGCGCAAGAGGGAGAGTAAGGTGTAGTCCAGTGGAAACCAAAGAGGACACAAACAGAAGTGGGAGTTAAGTAACTTTTAAAAAATAGCTTAAAAGGTATACTCCACTTTAAGAAGGAAATCCACAACTTTAAGGTCATTAAGATTAATGCGTAAAGTTAATAGAAAATGAACTCTTCCCTTTTAATAGGTACAAATTTTGGTTCCAGTGAAGAGTGATAAATCCTGATGTATACAATTCGTGTAGTACATCAACTCAGTTTCAGACTACTCACCCACTAGTTAATAAGCAAATAGGTCTACACGCGGTCTCATCTGATCGTCAT